CAGTGTTTTTATTAATGAATCAGAATTGAATCCAGTATGGTTGTGATTCCCTATAGTAGTCTATTGTTTCATGAATGAAGATTTTAATATGATTCAACAAAATTATAATGCTGAAAATATAGCCTAAATGTCTTATTTTAAATTTTAGAAAAAAGAGTTATCAAAGTGGTTTTTTTAAACCAAAAAGTAAGAAGTGGTCCAAACAATGTAGAGAGTAGTGAGTAATATATCAGCTCGTAAATCCCCTTCTGCACACATACTGTTGGTGATAAAAATGACTTTTCAGTGTTTATGATTGGCATAAATGTTTCCAATACAAGAAGAAGAGTCATAAGTCAATAGCAGAGCATATGCATTGAATACAATGAGCCCAACCTGCAGTTGCAGAGTTCTTCAGGTATAGCTAGAATTTTTTTTTTTCATATCCTTCCTTATTTCTTGTCATTTCACTGGAACTAGATTTAGTTCTCTTAAATATGTCACCCTACAGACTCAGCAGCTGTATAAGATCTATGGAGTCCCTCCCTCATTCTAAAAGTCATCTGCCAGCATCCCCTATTAAATAAAAGATATATGTTCATGTGAAAAACATGAGCAAGGATGATCTGGAGGACTATTTCCTTTAGCATACATTTTCCATTTCACATATTGTATTCTACTGTTTGAAGAAGATAATCTTTTTTTCCAGCACTTTCAATGAAGTCCAGGTTCCTTCCTTCCTCCCCCCATAAAAAATTAAATAGCATATGATAGCACAAACTATTTAATTGTATAAATAATATGGTTAAAATTATGCCCTAACAAGGAGACTGAACTCCAAAATAGTTTGATTCTCCAAACAATCAGTTTGTAGCTTGATTGTTGACAAACATTACTAAGCAAAAATAGATTGAAGTCTTTGTTAGGAATTCCAGCCATCAGCTGGTGTGGCCATCAAAAGCATATTCCTTTTGGTTGGGGCTGAATGCATTTGCTTTAAATTTATTCATATAATATTCTGCACGCTGCTATATTTTAAACTCCTCTCAAGCTGCCATGTCAAAAAGAGAAGAAGAAATGGTAATCACAACATAAGCATTAGCATGTAAAAAGGAACTCTCTATAATATTTTCACAATCCCTTCTCATTATAGCATTGTGATCTTCAGGAAAATCAATTCATGTAACTCACTACTTCTAAGAGGATTCCATGTTTATCGCATTCCATCCATTTTTTTTGAGTGGGTTGGATGCTAAAAATAACTTAAATAGCAGTGCTTCAAATTTTACTTTTGATTCCAGAGCTGAAAATATAAATATAGTAAATATTTGAACAGAGTTCACTTCAGAGTTGGAGTTGTTTCTCTTTTAATAGATCAAAGCATAATGATTTTGTAGTTTCATCCAGTTTATATCTGCTTTGTAATGTACAGGAACAGCAGTAACACTGTATATTGTTCCTCACTTGTCTATTTTTACAAGACAAATCTCATATTGTCTTGATAATTAAAATATTTATTTTATTTAATTTATGTATCTATCAAACTTTAAATCTCCCATCTCCTTTATAGACAGTCTCTGGGCAGTGTACAAATAAAATATTTAAACATAAAATACAGTATCTAAAATTTTAAAAAGGCAAATGTAATTAAAATCCAATATTAAAAGTTAATTAAAGGGTGAGGAAGGCTTTTGGGGCACTAATCCCACCTGAGTTCCAAGCAAGAGAGCAGTCATTTAATCTTATGAGTTGAAACCATCAAGAATCTACGAGTAAACTTTCATAGACTTCCTGTTCCACCTTATTTTAACATGTATATATTACTTTCGTAAAGCTAGGCAGTGTATCTGACAAACCTTTGCCGTAATAATTTATTTTGTAGCAGAGATACAGAAAGAGCTAAATCAAAAAGTAAAGCATCTGTTACTTTTTCTCCTGGACTACAACAGGAGGTAAAATGAAGTAAAATCTGCTCTTACTGTATGCTTCATTTATTCTTGCACCAGAATATGCAGAAAATGTGTACTTTAAAAATTAATTTTTCACCTTAATGTTGAGGTCACAGTGGCTTTTCTCAATACATACCAACATATGTAACAACTTAATATTACAGTTTTTGAGATGTAGTATTGTAAATTTTAATTATCTTTTCTAAGATCCTAACTCATAATGCCAAGAGAATATTTCTAAATGATTGCCCAAACTCATTGCAATATGTGAGTTGCCATCTGCAGTTTCAGATCTAATGGCAAACAAGGGTAAAGAAGTTGCTCTCCTCTTAAGTCTTTGATAGTATTATCACAACTTTAAGGACAAGTCTGATTCATAACTCAGTAGAATGACTGGATGACTCAAAGCATGGACTGGCTTTCTTCACTTTAACTAAATGTTGTGATTTAACAAATACAAAACCTAGAATTACTTCCTTGTTCTACTAAATCTAGCATATTCTGGATAATACTAAAGAAAAATTTGTCTCTATTGTGTTGTGCTTCTTCATGTATATGACACTTGGAGTCTTTAGCATAGAATTCTATTTGGGTTACTGTAACATCTATATACTACTAAAACTCCTGTGTCTGTTTGGTCATTGTAACCTTCATTTGGGCAAAACACTACATTACGGGTGGGGCAAAATACATCAACATAGTTACCTCAAATGTGCTAACCTACAGAATCCTAGATCCATCACTCCCACAGGAATGAAATTTGGGGAAACTGTTGCTACTTTAGGGCTGCTGGGCACTACTGCTTCAGTGCCACTGTCATGCTGCAATGGTCATGTGATCATCAATGTCAGTATTCCCTGACAGCTTCCGAGCCACTAGTACAATACCTTGCTCCCTCTTCCACCTAACAGCAGCTACTTTCCTGAGAGAAAGGAAGGAAAATGTTCCAAGTTCTGTTATTAACCTCTCTGTGGGTTTAGGGGAAGTGGGGAGAAGGAGAGGAATAGCTCTCCCCATATCCACTACAATTTTAAATATAACAAAATGTATTACCTATGACAAATACATTAAGCATTTAACACCAGGTGTCTTTCAACATTATGTGTAAACTTGTTTCTTCAGCAAATATAATTTCAGTTGCTTCCAGATGGTGCAGTTTAACTCCCTTGATAAGGTTACTCATGAGTGGTTTTCTTTTTAAACAAAAAAATTAGCTAGCAATTGTCCTTTTATTTTTTCACATCCCCCCACCCCTTGGAGCTCAAATTGATGCTACTTAAAACAGAATGTGAAACGAATTATTTCTATGCAATTGACATTCCTACGTAGATTTGCCCAGTAGATTCAGAAAAATGGCTCTCCAAAACCTATTGGATTACAGCTTTGAGACTGATAGTATTAATTGTAGCTTGACATACCAACAACCTCTACAGCATTACAAATGTCTACCTCTATTCCAATATTTATAACAAACTGTCTACTGCAACCTCCGCCTCTTTTGGGCAGGTGTGCAAAGCTGTGACACACAAAGGAGAGTGATAAGGCTTCTGTGTCAACATCACAACATTTTCAATACTTCTACCTGATATTGCTGACCAAAAGAAAGGACACAATGGCATATACTGTAATAACTGCATTCATTTCATGTAAGGACTCAGATCTGAGTTTACAAAGAAATAGATGTACTTTCTCAGCTGAAATAAAAATATAAACCCTCGCATAATGTAACAGAATTTAGCAAATCAACCATTTGATGCCTACATAGATGCATGTATGTACGAATGTATATACATGCATAAAAATCCCCCTTTCACCCTAATGGGTGGTCTGTGTCTTCCCCAATCTCAGGTCCTCTACCTGAGGCCTAGGAGTTTGAGGTTTCTGTGCAGTATCTTAGCTGTTGTTGTTCCTGAGATCTGTTGGAACCACTCTCCCAGCTTAGGAGTCACAACCCTGTGTGCTCTTACCATACCTGGGAGTCTGGGACCATTTTTACTTTCCACATCCTCTTCAGCTCCTCTTTCAGGCCCTGGTACTTCTCCAGCTTCTCCTACTCATTCTTCTTGATGTTGACGCCACTTGACACTGCTACATCCATTGCCACTGCTGTCTTCTGCTCCTTGCCTACTATCATGATGTTGGGCTGATTGGCTAGTACCTTTTAGTCCAGATTTTTCCGGCTACTGGCAGGATTTCCAAGATATCTTAGCTATCTGTTGATGGTGCATACCTTGAAGGATATTGCCTTGCCATGGTATTTCCTCTCCCAAGTTAGGCATTTTTCTCAGCAGCTTCTCTTTCGATGCCATCATAGTGATGTACTCCTGGATGTTCTGGTTTTGTACAGCACTGTGTCTTTGACACTTACTAGATCCAGCCTGTTCTCTTTCTACCTGGTGTATAGTCTCTGGATGTTGGACTTGGGGTGGAAACTTCCATACATTTGAGGAACTTCTAGGTTTTCTACATTGACAGCTTCCATATTCTTCTTTGGTCAGATTACTCTACTGGCAGAGTCTCTGATGACTGGCAGGGCATATTGAGCTGGTTCTTCAGGATTTGTCTTATCTTTTGGTGGTATTTAGATATTGCTGTCTTTTATTTATTTTTATCCAACCGTATTATTTTGATAAATAACTGAAGGTGGCAAGTATACCTAAAACAACTTCTCCTATTTTCCCCACAACAATCCTGTGAGATGGGTTGGACTGAGAGAGAGTCATCCCAAAGTCACCCAGCTGGATTTCAAGCCTAAGGAAAACTAGAACTCAAAGTCTCCTGGTACCTAATCTTGTGCCTTAATCTCTAGATCAAACTGGTCTTCCTTGCTTCCTCATCATTGTTCCCATTTGACTATAGGATGCCAAGATACTTGCAACTGATTTGTATGTCTGCTAAATGGCCTGCTGCTAACAGTTATCAATGTTAACTACCTTTTATGTCTTGACTACCAACCATCCACACATCTCCACACAGTGACATCACAATGTCCTCCACACAATGATATCACAATGTCCTCACTGTATATCATGCCAAGTGGATCAGCAAGTTAATGTTTTGTTCACTCTTAGCAAACAGCTTGGTGTCATTCATGCAAAGGAGGTGACTCATGAGGAGGTGACTCCTCATATAGAAGAGAGGTATTTCCACTCTTGAATTTGTATCCATATCCAATCCCTGTGATTATCTGATTGAGAAGGTTAAAGCATATGCAGAATAGTGCTGGGAACAATAGATCATCTTGACATTGCTACAATTGATAGCCCACTTATATAAGCTGTCTAGTTGACTTCCAGTCCCGTTGAGTCTCTTGAGGAAGGGGTCCTGTTGACATTGTATAGTGCCAGGCATTCACAGATCTATATGTGTAGCATTCAGTTCCATGACAGCATACAATCTTTATTCAGTTCTGTTACATTCTTCTAGTTCTTACATTCATTAACATATAGCATCTTTATTTTTATTTCATTCAGTTCATATGTTAATTCATGTTATGTACAGTTTAGTCATCTTACATTCCAAGTCACAGTTTTCCATGTGCCATAGTTAGCACCAATGATGTTGACTCCTGGTATTCATTATGATATTATTTCTTGATTATATTTCAAATGTGGTATATTTAAGTTGTGCTTGTATTTATTTATTTTTCTATTTTTCTCCTGTACAGGCAATGCAGAGACTCTAAGTGGCTTGCACATGGTATTAAAAACTAAGTAAAATATTTACAATATAACAACAGTTAAAAAATTAAAACAATATCACCATAGAGAAATTGTAAACAATAAATAATAAAATTAATATAATAATTTAAGTATAATAATTTATAGATTTTTTTTATTGAAAAAGTTTTTCAAATACAAATTCCCCCCCCCCTTTTTTCCCCTCCTCCCTAACCCCCCTGATTATTGATATATGTATACTGTTTATTGATATATATATATATATAGATAGATAGATAGATAGATAGATAGATAGATAGATAGATATAGATATAGATATAGATATAGATATAGATATATAGATATATATTGATATATGTATACTAGATGAAATGAGACAAAAGCACATGAAATATGACTAAAACTATAAGACATGCACCTAGACATACCAACAACCTTCCTGCCCACTTCTAAAGACTATCATATTAAGCATGAAGGATTCCAAAAGGTTTGTAAGCATAGTTGTATGCTTATAATTTATTATATTGTTCACAACTCAGATCCGCTCTTGGAGGAAGATAGGTGGTGTAGAAATATGAAATATAAACAAACAAACAAATAAATAGTTGACTGAATGTTTTAGACCGTTTTGACTGGAGACCCACTTTAATACAGTTGTCATTCACATATCATTTTGTAAGCAATAGAACTCAATAGTTTTGTAATTTCCTAAAGAATTAAGTGCACACAGTAAGATGCTTTAGAGAGGAGTCAGATTCCTGGACACCATGGGAGAGGAGTTTTTATTTCATTCTTTGTAATTGCCACACTCTTAATGAAAACTAAAGGTCAAAGTATCCTTCAGGCGGCTAGTGATGTATATAAGAAGGAGAAAAATGAATATGTATTCACTGGAATTTTCTCCTCATGATTATTTTGTGTGTTCAATGGCTAGACTTTGATAACAAGTATTGCCTTTCTGTGTGCTCATTTTTATTATTCTCAAGAAGTCTACTTCTATTACAGTTTTGTTGTGTTAGTTTGACATAGGATATGGAACACTAATAAATTACTATGTTACTGAACAAAGAAATAATTAGAACAGTATTCATGGTCATGTTTTTCTTTTTCAGAATTATATAGTTAATTACTAAGTTCTAATAATTACTAAGGATTAAACAATTATATGTCAACTGTTACAATTTATTTAATAGTTTTCTAATAATAACAGAAAAACAGAACAGAATAACAGAGTTAGAAAGGATCTTGGAGATCTTCTAGTCCAACCCCATGCTCAAGCAGGAACACTATACCATTTCAAACAAATGGTTGCCAATCTCTTCTTAAAGACCTCCAGTGTTGGCCTGAATATGTTGAAGAATATTTGAACTGTTTTCAGTCAGTTCCTAAAGTTGAGGCTAACAAACAGAAGTCTACATTAACTTGTAAAGGCAATAGATGAAACATCTGGAACATCTCTCTAGGCCACTAGAAATAATACTGATGATTACTCAGGGAAAACAGGAATCTACTCTTAAGTAGATAGTGTATCAATTATATCCCAGAAGTGAAAATGATATTTACTTAGTATGTAGAACTAATTTATTGCTGAATTCAATAAAAGAAGATAACACATAGCATATAGATAATCCTGTTAGTAGAAAAGTAAAGAATATGTGCAAAGTAGTGAAAAAAAATCAAGCTCAGAGAAAACACTAATTAACATTCTACAAAATATTTATTTGATTGAAATATGACATTGAAAATATATATAATATACCTTGTTATGTTGTTTTTGATCAGCCTGTTATAAAATTCTTATTTCATACAGCATTGTCATATCCCTTATTGGGCTTATTGCATGCGCAGAAGCGTCGCACACGTATGCAAGTGTGCATGCACCCACAAGCGAACCGGTAGCGATGGGTTTTGAAACCCGCCCCTGCTCTGGTGGTTAATAATAAAGGTGGCCAGGCACCTGCTGGGAAGGGTTTGTCCTAGACAAACTTTATTAGTTTGATTTATTAGTTTATCTTAGACTTTATTAGTTATTCTGTGCCACCTAGCATCACTATATGGGACAAGATACACAATGTTATGCATGATTACCATGCAAGTAAATATGCATTTTTTCAGTGGACCTTACTCCATATAAAGACATTAGGAGTAAAGTGTGAATCCAAACACTATCTTTTCTGATAGAACACTAGGATGTTCCTCTTTCTCTTTTGATGTAACATAATGCTGTTGTATCTTGATACATTGATTGTTTGGGTTGTATAGGCAGTTTTTATATCTGCTACTAATAAATCTAGATATATCCAATTCAGAAATTTCTTTTGTGTGTTTTGAAGAATCTGTCAGAAGATCAAAATAAATTAGATTAGGTGATTAAATTCAAATGCAATTCTTGCTAAAGATGTCCTCAACAAAGCAACATAAACATATGTGCAATATTACTATGAAAACAAATTATAGTATAAAAAGGATCAATTATTTTTCGTCTCCCCTAGTGGTGTAGGAGTTGTTGCCAGGATGAAAGTGCCATTAGGATGAGATTATCCTATTGATTCAGGTGACAAAGCCCCTTTAAAAGGACATTCCTCTTCAATTCTGTGAGGGTTTGTTACATTTCTGTCTTATTTTGTTTCATGATCACTAAGAATTATGTTGCTAAGTTTCTTAGTGTGAACTATTCAGTCAATTGATATGGTACAATAGCTAAAGTATTAGACTCAGCCAGAGGAGACCAAGGAAGAAATAATTACCCCTCAACTAAGTTTACCTGTGTTACAGATTTGTTGTATTGGTTTGATGTGAGCTATGGAACACTAATAAATTACTATTCTTTGCCATTTCTCCCAAAATCATAATGTTTTAACTGCAATTACTGAAAATAAAATTGACATTTTCTATAGAGATTACACTCATTTTACTCTCTCCACTTTTTTTTTTTGAAAAGGTTCTTGAACTTTAAAAATGCCCTCAATTTTCTACATAAGATGATTGGTTTCACAATTTCGCTTGCATTTATTTCTGCACACTTTTCGTACAATCAAGATTCTTCATCACTAAGAAATAAATTGATTGCAGATGTATGTGCTATGATATCTAATTATGCAAAATCTTTTTTAATATATTAGTCAAAATTAGACAAAATTTGGAAATAGTAAGTTTATTGATGGAATAAAGTTGATTTTGGAGATGCACTGCCAAACAATTATAATATGGCCAGCTGAAATTTAGAAATTAATTCTCCATCATCTTATTCCTGTGTTACTGTATTCTAAAACTAAAGACATATCCATACTTCTGATTTTTTATTCCTTAATCCTTCATAAAACAATCTGAAACTAATCCCTTGTAAACTGAACACCAAGAAGCAATCAGTACTTATCTGCTTTCTTTTTTTTTTTTTTTAGAAACTTTATTGAGGTTTTTTACAAACAAAACAGAAATTAAAAAAAAAATAGAAAAAAAGAGGAACAAAACATTCAGACAAAAACATAAAACATATAAATATAATAACATTTTCAATTACTATCAGATGTACAGTGTTTTAGCTATTTACATAAATAATACTTGGTGATATTTCAGCTCACTTTTAATCAATATTTTGCACACCTTTAGGTCTTCCTTTCATTTTATCATGCAACCACTTATACCACCTTTCCCACACCAAATAATAAACTATCTTCTCATCATTTAATTCATAGGTTAATTTAGTCATCTCTGCGCACTCGAGTATTATCTTAATTGTAAGCTCTTCTGGTGGTTGAGTTTTCTCTTTCCAGTACTGTGCATATGCCAATCTGGCAGCTGTAATTATATGGATCATTAAATGTATCATTTCCTTTCTATATGGCTTCTTTATTATTCCCAGGAGGAAAATCTCTGGAGTTAATTCAATATCTTCATCTATTATTTCATTTAACCACCTCCTAATTTTATTCCAGTATCCTTTCGCTTCCTGGCATGTCCACCACATGTGAAAGAAGGTGCCATGGCCACATTTCCAACAGTTGGGGTGTATATTGGGATATATTTTTGCTAGTCTGGCCGGGGCTAAATACCATCTATGGAACATTTTGTAATGATTTTCCTTGTATGTCACCGCTCTGGTCAATTTAAGATTCCTGTTCCATGCCTCCTCCCATTCTCCAAAATTTATATCACGCCCTGTGTTTTTCTCCCATGCGATTATTTGGTTCTTTGTGACATCTTCAAACTTATTTGGTCCCAACAGGACTTTATCTAATCCATTTGGTCCAAATTCTAAACCGTATTGTTCTTTATCTCTCTGGTATCTGGATTTCACTTGTAAGTAAGACCACCAGTCTAGGATTATTCCTTGCTCTCGTAAGGTGTCATTTGATTTAAGCCTCCCTCCTTCGTCTAAAATATCTTTATATCTGCCCATTTTCTCCCTCTCCCATCTATTGGGGTGGGTCAGGGCCTCCATCGTTGAGAGCCAATTTGGGGTTTTTTTGTAATATTTATGCCTGATCTGGGTCCATGTTTGTATCAGGGAGTCTCTGATTTTATGTCTATGAAAATGTGTCTTCCTTTTCTTCTCCATGTCCCAAATGTGGGCGTGCCACCCTTTTTGCAAGTCATGACCTTCTAGGGTAAGTATCCTCTCATTTTCCAAGGTGATCCAATCTCTTATCCAAACTAGCTTAGCTGCCCTGTAGTATGTTTGCCAGTCCGGGAGTCCAAATCCGCCTATATCTCTTTTGCCCCTTAAAATTTTAATGGAAAATCTCGGTTTTTTCCCTTCCCATATAAATTCTCTGATAATTTTGTCTAATTCTAGAAAGAAATTTTTATCTAAATGTATCGGTATATTTTGGAATAAGAATAATATTCTAGGGAGGATGTTCATCTTAATTGTGGCTATCTTGCCCAATAGTGATAATCTTATTTTTTTCCATCTGTCTAGGTCTTGTTTCATTTTTCTGATTAGGGGGGTATAATTATCGTCTTTCAGGGTCGAACATCTAGATGTAATCCAAATTCCTAGGTATTTAATTTTTTTGG